ACCCGAAGGAAGAAATAGAATTGGGATACTGCCAGGTTGCTCAAGCCTAGACAAGAGAAGTCGAGATGCAGATGTTAGGTTTGAACCACGAACCCTCCGGTCAGTGAATTTGCAATCCAACCATTGAGCCATCTCGCCCCCATACGTGCGATTGGTATACAAAGAGCTTCCGCCTGTGTTCACCACGTCCAGTGGTATCCTCATCATTTCACTTCAAATTTGTTAATGTGCGTGGCAGATAAATCCATTTAGGCGATAGTTTGTCTGGAAATGAGATTGCTTCCCGAGTCGATGAGCTAAGATTAACTTTTGTCAAAATTCTTTTGGTTGTCTATACATTATGGCAGCGTGATCTATGCTGTTCTGTGAGTCAGAGGAAGGGTCTTCGCAGTTCGAAGCTTTGCTCGGGTGTTATCCTAACGTCGTATTAGTGATTTCGAGGCAAGAAGTATCTTGTCGGTGATTGACTAGTTAGTCACGGGTTTCACTTCTTACGGCTCATACTCCATATTTAGAAATCCGTCCACTGCGCTGAGTTCTTTTTCCAGCCCTGTACTGACTGTAAATGACCGAAAGGTAGACAGTCCAACCTGGCAATTGAGCACGAGTCATAAAAAGGGATCCTGTTTGTAGTTTCAGCGTATGCCCCAACGGACTGTTTCTGACGCTGAGGATTTTTCTATCGAAAAGTACAGGGATTCATTAGTTAAATAAGACGCACTGAAATTGTCGTCCTTGCGGCTATATGAATGCCCAACTCGGTAGTATGAGCTCCTTGGAATCACATCTGGACGGTGGATTTGGAGTCGGTGCTGGTCGCACAGATGACGAAGAGCGCTTCCTCCAATTTGTGCCGATCATCAACTTTTTCTGGCTGTATCAGCTTTCAGTATAATTGTTCGCACCACGTAACGTGACGGCCACCAAGTTCAAATCAGCCATGGGCCCAGTTGGATTACATGGCTATCAGTCACCGCTGGAGAGCGGTGCCGTTTCTAGGGCACACAGCTTGATTCTGATAACGCCATGGTGCGATTACGTCTGACAGTTCCATTCCCTTCAGACCCTCAAGTCAGCAAGACACCTGCCAATCCACCATCTTTAGAAAACTACCATAGTTCAGCAGTGTCGATCTGAGCTAGCTCAACCACTCTACAACAAACCAACAATGTGCTGGTAGCGAACACATGGACAAAGCATTTCAAAATGTGAAAGGAAATATGTTCATGACATTCACTTGTCTGTCCGACTTTTTTGATACGGTAAAATGACCACTGGGTGTCATCGAGATATCTAGCTCTGTTGGATGCCAAGAACTCCTTACCAGTAGGCAGTGAATACAACGGCGCACCCAAATCCTTCAAACGCTATATAGTGGGGAGCCTATGGAAAGCTAATGCCTATGGAGTCGAAATGCCCTCAGGGCATTCGCTAACAGGCAGTTGCTCATCGATAGCTGCCGATGTAGACGACTTATCCTTTTTTGAATCTAGCGTCGTTTCGATGCAAACAATACTGGATAGTCTTAATAATTATCCCTTAAGGCTTGGCATCCACTTCACACCTGCAAAGTCCAAATTGCTGCTTCAAGACTAAGTGGGTTCAAATCCTAACCTCATGCTTGCGGATGAGCAGATTGAGGTAAAAGAGAAACTTGTCTACCTGGACAGCTACATCATTCCCGATGATGATATATATCCGCCCGGATTTAGAAGACCAGAGCAGCTTTCATAAACTGGCATCACCTGTGACATAGACAGCTTACCTGTCAAGAGTCGAGTTTACAATGCTGCGGTGCGCTCCGTATTACTGTACGGGTCAGAAACCTGACCAGTGCGCGCCGAAGACGTCAAAATAATTTCAGTGTTGTATCATCGATGTCTTCAGAGCATTTCCCGAGTCTGATGGGAACATCAAATCAGTAAGGCTGAATGATTTTTGGAATAGATAACTTGCCGACAGTAGGTGAACTGATCGCATTCCAGAGTTTTCTGGCTTGGACACGTGTTTCGTATGCCAATCGACCGATTCCCTCGACGGGCTCCACACAAAGGGCGGAAGTGAGCCACAGGGGGTAAACAATGACTTGGCAACGAATTGTGAAAGCAAACCCAACATCGCTGGCCATTGCTGTCTTCCTGGATGGTGACCACGGGGCGGGAGACATCAATGTTTGGAGACATTATCAGACATATCCCAGTCATGCCCTCAATGGCGTTCGTGCATCCAAGCTGTTGCCTACCTCTTCTCCGGATCTCCCTAATAAAAAGTTCATTACCCGAAGGAAGCACGAGGGCTGGGATACTGCCAGGTTGCCCAAGCCTAGACAGAGGAAATCGAGAGGCAGAAGTCGGGTTCGAACCATGGACCTTCCGGCCAATAAATTCGCGCTCTAACCACTTCGGCCGTCCCGCCCCAACAACATCGTACTTATGAATCAGTTACATCACTTACCGCCTCCAGTGCAGAGCTATCTACCCCACATCCCCAGAAAATAGGTGAACAAAATTGTGGCAGCGAGAACCACTGTACGACAAGTAAGCGGTTCATAAGTTTCGCCGACAAGAGGCTTATGAGGACCATTTGACGACCTGCGAACGTTTCTGTCTTGTGCAACTTCCATTTCTATGGCCATTCGGTTTCACCAGGCCGTGTGAATACTAAGTTTTACCTGGCGTCAGGTTGAGTTATGGTTGCGACCAGCAGAAACCTGTCGCCGGGCCTCCAGAAAAGCAATTATCAGAGAAGAGATCCAATGTTTGGATGAGGTTGGCTGAGTTTTGCCGTAGACAGACGTTCCGGCTGTGAGTAGCGCTTTGGATATTTGTTCGCAGTGGCCGTTGATATCCAACATCGGACCAGCTGGCATGCGTTGGATGAGCCGGTTCCGATAAACGCATTTGGTTTCTGGGCCCACTAGCTTACCGTGGCTAAGCAAGTTGTGCACGCTTTGTGTAGACCTCAAAAGCTCAATGAAACGCACCAGCGGACAAATGTGTGGTCGGACTCATCCCAGAAGAGGCAACAGGCAGTGATCGACCCACAGNAGGCTTATGAGGACCATTTGACGACCTGCGAACGTTTCTGTCTTGTGCAACTTCCATTTCTATGGCCATTCGGTTTCACCAGGCCGTGTGAATACTAAGTTTTACCTGGCGTCAGGTTGAGTTATGGTTGCGACCAGCAGAAACCTGTCGCCGGGCCTCCAGAAAAGCAATGGTCTTATCAGAGATCCAATGTTTGGATGAGGTTGGCTGAGTTTTGCCGTAGACAGACGTTCCGGCTGTGAGTAGCGCTTTGGATATTTGTTCGCAGTGGCCGTTGATATCCAACATCGGACCAGCTGGCATGCGTTGGACGAGCCGGTTCCGATAAACGCATTTGGTTTCTGGGCCCACTAGCTTACCGTGGCTAAGCAAGTTGTGCACGCTTTGTGTAGACCTCAAAAGCTCAATGAAACGCACCAGCGGACAAATGTGTGGTCGGACTCATCCCAGAAGAGGCAACAGGCAGTGATCGACCCACAGCACCGGTAACTGATGCCAATATGGTCTAGTTCGATTCGCGAGTGGTTCGTTGGTGCGCACCACCTTTTCCAGAGATTTCCACTATTCCTGAAATTGTTACTGCAAAAGAACCGTCTGTGGTTGGCACGTATCTCCGTTGTTCGTGCGTCCCGTATCCAACCCAAGATGATCACCTAATCGGGCCTCAGCAACGTATCTGAGCGCTCGTGTTACCGTAAGCCAAAACGGTCTGAGCCTTTAGCCCCCTTGTAAAAGAACACCTAGCGTGTCATAGAAACTGCCCTTGGCAGATTCAAAGCCATATTCTGTCGGGGCGTGAGCAGACACATTGAGCAGGTTACTATGTGCCTCTATTTATGTAGCTTCTTTCACGGATATTGCTAAACCAACCGCGTAGAGGCGAATATCAACAGGTATCTAGTCAAGTAGAGATTAATCATGTATTCAGACACAATGCACACTTATTCTCGTCTTAACTAGTACGTACTAAGTGAACATGACTCCATTACACTGCATATTCAAACACAATTCTCGTATTTCCCCACCCAACCACTTCTGATTTCAACTCTGGTGCAGATGGGAGAACAATGGTGTCACTGTTGTTCATTAACACATGAATCCTTCCAACTATTTCTTCTTTCCCCTATAACCAAACGCATTTAACATGCATACATTAACCATCTTTGGAGAACATCCAGTATTGCTGCATATGCTCGACAGTCGTCACGCATATAGACCACCTACAGGAAACCCAAATCCAAGAATCTAGCTAGTTTATAACGTTGAGTTCATCATCTCATTGTAAAGGAACACACCGCGTGCGTTCATCCAGAGGCGCGGAGACATCTGTACAGGGACACGCAGTTATCTGTGTCGTTGTCAATAATGGCCGAAGCCACGCTTCTAGAATAGATCCCTGCTGACAGCCGACTCTATGATATGAAAGTCAGACGTACCCATAAACTAAACAGATGCAAACATCTGTGTACATATGCTATAACAAACTGCAGTACTGATGCTTCAAATGATGTCCATCTCTGGTTCGACGAAGTATCTCCTGTGCGGGAATTCTAGTGAGTTCAAATAGCCTCTTACCGTCTCCCTCTCTCTTCAATTTGTCTCTACTGCATACTAAACAACACCTTAGATTTGGTCCGGGCTTATGTTTCGCGTCCTGTCGCATAACCTGACGTTTTTTGCTGACGTTATATTTCCACTCTTTGCAGATTATGAATCGTACAGCCGTTGTCATTTCTTGTGGTTGATAGAATTTGACACAACCCGACCATGATATCACACTGTCTTGGCTTTTGGTTCATTTTTTTCTGTTCCTGTTCACACATCTTATCTGCTACTGGTGCACTGGATTGTACACTGCCGAAGCAGGAATGGATGCGGCTGCGGTACACTTCTATGTTATCTGCGGTACCCGTAACCGGTAACTACTTTGTTTTGCCATTTACCTATCTACATATAGCGCCCCCGGATGTTTGTTCTATATCCGGTGACTCTTGTTGTGATCAGCTTATGCAACGTATGATGTATGCACTGGGGCAGCGTCACGTCGTTCATCAAGCTGGTTTAACTTGGTTACGAGTTGCTGAGCAGATGCATAATGATAGCGTGACGCTTGAACGTAAGTTTTTTTCCACCTTTTACCTTTTATATCTATCAAGAGTTGTTTTCCATTTAACGCCCGAAACCCCCATCATTTTTGTTGCCTTTTGACCACAATACACTTCAGGGTGAAGCTGAATGTATCACCATGTGTCATATTTTTCATTGAAGACTTCCGCAATCTTTTGTAGTACGTCAATGAAGGTCTACTAATAGTGTTTACAGTTGCTCCAGATGAAAGTAGCCTACACTCAAAATTTTCAGCCAAAATATTACATGATTTCATTTTCACAAACTTATAATGACCATCACAAGCGGGAGGTTCAGCTAGGTTCCAGGTGAGCCTCTCGCAAAACCAAATTAGTTTACAAATGAGTGTATTTCGCTTATTATGACCATGTTATAACACTGAAAACAGGCGATATCACGAACAGCAATAATACCCAGCAACAAATCTGCTGATTGTCCCCGAACCTCCAGAAAACAACAGCATTTGGCATTGATCCTATGTTCTGCTTTCAACGGACCGTTTTCTTTTAGGATGTCGCTGGTAGCATCCAATTCGCATTCTAGCGAGCCCTTGAAGCCAGATAGCGAACGAGGTTTCTTTTTTGTGTAGAGGGACAAAACTGTGATAATTCGTATGTTGTTTACCCTGGGTTACCTTGTGGCACACGCTTTTTGAGTAGCCATCGGTCCTTCTGGTCAACAATATCTCCAGAATGGAGGTATGATTGTTCGTTTCCCTGTCCATGGTAAGTCTATAGCTGTTGTAGTAGTATTGAATAGATTTAAAGCTGTCTAAATCGCAGTCTGCGTCAACGATTCGAAACATATCGTCCGTATATCTTTACCACTGAACGAATCTCGGCATATCTAACATCATCTCTTCCTCCTCAGGTTTGACGGCATAAATATCAGTGAGTAATGCGCCTAGTATTGGTTCCACGACCACTCCATCCCCTGGGTGGTTATGTCATTAAAACGAAACCGTTCATTAAATGTGTATTGTAAGAGAAGTTCCGTCAACTTATCTGTTGGTATGCGTAACACAGTGTCTGCACTTCTGATACCGGTGCATAGGTAGGCAATAGTTTTTTAGCAGAAATAAATTCATGAATGAGGAAACTGCCCCAAGTGAAAACATGGTTCTATGGTTCACATAACTCTGTCTTATAAGGTCGACGAGCCGAAATTCGTCCTTTATACACCTAAGCCCGGTACTTACTGGTGCTTCAGAACTTGGACACAGATTTCGTTGTATACGCCTTTAAGTTACTCAGCGTAAACTATTGCTACAATTCGAGAGACTTGTTGGTCGAAAACGTGACTTTGTTCCGAAATCTGTCGTAGATGTTGGACGTTCCGAAGCAACAATAGTTCACTCATATTACCAGTACAGAAAGAAACTTTTCAAGAAATAATACCTGAATACTGTGATACCAATGTGCCTTGGCAGTCAGCTGGATAGATAAGCGCTTGATTGCACTAAGCAAAGCAAATGTTCTGGTCCAGGTAGGGATACCGTTGTACCATGGAGGCAGATAACCGACCAAAATTAGACTTCTGCAAGGGTGTTTTTTGTTATAAAAAATGATGTGTGAAAGTGTGCGGTGTCAGTCATTCACACAGACTGGGAGTACATGAATTATACTCGAGGAGAACGCATATGCATAATTGAATGCATAAACGCCTTTCAATGGTGAAAACCATGTTGACATGTCTTTTCTCGACAGGAGCTGCCGCTCCACTGCGCCTTCTACTAAACTCGATGTTGATTCAGCATGTTACTTCCCTCACCATCCAAGGTTCATTCTTCGTATAATTTATCTTTGCTGTTGTTATTGATTTTGGAGCTGACTGATAGACTCCGTGCGTTTTACGAGCCCTGAGACATCACTGGCCTGGGCGAACTACTCATATTACCCATTGTACCACGTGTGATCCTTCCGTTTGATAAACGTAGATTTACTGTTCCTTTACCGAATATCCCAAATGTAGAGTTCTTTCGTACAGACCTGGAGCAAGCCAAGGATCGGCTGCATCAATTCTTCAGTCGTATATACGGATACAATTACAAGCTTCACAGACGATTCTTCTTCCAGTTTTTCACGGACCTCGAGGCCTACATGGCAGGGCAACGTAGCCGACTTGATCACTTAGTTGAGAATTTCTTTAATCAACTTCGTGACAGCATCGTTAGTCTGATTGAGCGTTCTGGTCAAGTCCGGTCCGGCTCAAGTCCCAGTTTCCCTTCCGGATCCATGTCTCCATCAGCCGCAGACTTAAATCCTGCCTTAAGCAGTGGTCATGATTCTCTCTCTTCGAGGGACGAGGCTTCTGAGACACGCCGTATTCGTTGCCTGTCAGACCGCGTGGCGCAGCTGCGGCCGTTCGATGACGTTGATGTGCGCCTCAAGGCACGCATGCTCGAAGCGTATCCGCCGGCGCGCATGCTCATTAACGTGTTATCGGTGTCTAGTCGCTTGTTGTATCACCTTTCGAAGCAGGTAAGTACGAATTGTCGGTGAGACGATTTTCATTACAAGATTGGCTTTTTTGTGCTGTGTTTTTTATCACACGGAAGACGGGACTTCGGGGCATAGGATATCCCATAAGAAAAGGCACCATTAGACTGAAACAGTGCAGCAGCCGTGTAACTGCCTTAAGAAATTAACAGTGACCCACGCTAAGGGTTTGGGATGTTGGACCTCAAAAGCTTTTTCAGGTTACACTGGACGAAAATATGCTTACAGTGTTGTAGCTGTTTTGTTAAAATCTTCGACTGTCTTGTGTAGAACGGACTGCCCAGCCCGTACTCCGTTGACTTGCTCAATCTTTGATTTATCCTTATCTTTCGTGTATAAATTTTTCAATACTGCTTCTTTGATTTTTGAGCCGTCTCTATGTATGATAAAACACTACCTCGCTTAAAGTAGAATTTATCCCAAATCAAACTTGTTAACCATCGATCGACGAATGGGTGACGTCCAACTTACTGAACGAATCCAACAAGAACGGTATTTTCTTACTGATATGTAGACACATTACTTGGCGACAGATGTCAGCCGTTCGTTCACTAGTGTTCTACCGAACAAACGGGAATTATTAGGATCCCACCGATATTGTTCCAGTCGATCTCCCCGTAAAAAGGCACTGAATTCTTGTCAGCGTTTTGCTAGATTCCCTTTCTCCCGGCAAGATGGAGTCAGCTGTCACAGAACTGTTTCTTGGGGAAAGCTGGCCTTCATATTGTTCTTGAACTTTCGTCCTGTTTATCTTCCAGGTTGGCGAGAAGCCTGACTGCGTCGTTGGAATGACCCGTTTCCAATATTGTGCCATATGTGCTGGGAAGCCTCTGTCCTCTGTGTGTCCAGATAGTTGTCCCAAGTTGCTATCTTCCTGTCTGCGCGTGGATGGACCTGACAGTGTTCAAATTGCAGCTATATGGCCACGTCTAATAGGTAAGGATGTAGAACATCTTTCATGTATACCTTTCTCGCTTCCTGGCCATCCCTCGGCAGTTTCATGCAAGAACTTTCTTATATGTAGAAATCCTTAGTTAGCCGCCACGGGCTGGTCGGACTGACAGCACATTGTTGTAGAGAAGGGCACGCTTGAACGAGAAAACTAGTTACAGACAGAAAAGCAAGTTGGATTTGGAACTCGGGTTTGTGATGGGGTCAGGGTTTCTATTCTCGTCTTCATTACAGTCGTTTTTGACTCTTTCACATATCAGGTTTATACTTGCTACTTCCTTTGAATCAGGTAGAAGGCCGATAGGAAACATCATGCACGGAGGCTATCCCCACTCCGTAATGATTTAATTTGACCCCTGTGCTGAAACTACATCACAAATAGACAATCTTTGCCATTTTCGAAATTTGAGCAGTTTGTTTTACTCTTAGCATCATCGGTCGTTCAATTATTGGAGCCGACACTCCAAAACAGCTTCATCCTGTTTAAAGCCTGAATCATTCGGATTTATCTCAGAAGCGCAAGCCTATCTTTAGGAGCCCGTATGGTCGGATGTATGTCGTATCACAATGCTGTTCTAAATTTGCTGTTTGTTCAACCACTTTTGTGCTTCGTTGTTTTAGATGCAGTCGTCATGGCAGTGATGCGCCTTGAACGTTCATTTAACTTTCCGGTGGTTAATCGTCAGCTGCAAATGGAAATATCGGAAGCAATCACCAGTTTGCAAACTCGTTATGAGCAGACGAAGTCCAAAGTAGGTCATTCTGTTGAATCGTTTGTACAAGGCAACCACTTGTTCATGCTATATGTGGTAGGACGGCGAGATGGCTCAGTGGTTAGAGCACGAATTTACCGGTCGGAAGGTGTTCGAATCCGACTTCTGCATCTCGACTTCCAGCCTGGCAGTATGCCAGCCCTCGTAGCTTACTTCTGGTAGTATGACAGTTAGACACCGAAAGGGTGCTACAACTGAACGACCAGGATGTAACACTTCGTTTCCCAATCCAAAGGCTATCATTTCAGAACAGTCGTTACATGTAAAAAACCCGTCTTCACTCGTGTCCGTATGCAAAATATGGTTGATAGTTTGCCAGTCTTATTATCTTTCCTTTATGGGAAGTATGGCCAATGCATTCACCATGGACTTGCGAATTCACACAGTGCATATCTGTGATCTATTAAAGGCAGTATGAAAAGTTGTGTAAATCAACCAAATAAGAGAGTCTCTCGCAGCTATAGGCATCCTCTTCGGCTTTTGTACTTAATGCACTTTTCCTGACTCCGTATGTGACAATAGTGTAAAAAAAATCCTTGATTTGGTGTAAAAAATGTGGGAAGTTTCGCCGTTTTTAGTTCGTTGTAGGTAGCCCAATTTGTTGATTCGAATCACATACGGCACCTTTTGTTTCCCTGATGGACAGTTCCTGCGCAAGCACGCCGTCGAAATTGACCACAGTGATCGAGGTGGAATCGGCTTTTTTCCTGCTGTTTCTAGTGTTAACGTCACATGTCATATGTGGTTCAATATTCCAAAGAACTCATGAACTTTTTCGTCTACCTTGCTACTGGCCGAACGCTGCCCTGAGCTTGTGGACTGAACCCATTGCCACAGTTCAACTTACACCCAACCACTGTCAGACGCCTGCATCCGTCGTATGTCGTCTGTGCTCGTAGTCATTTGTAGAGGGTTGAAAACCTGAAGTTGCAAACTGACACTAACTAATATTAGTGACTCAATGACCGAACTTCCTTGCGCCGTCTGTTTGTTAGTTGTTTCTTGTCTGGAAACGCTTGTTTGTTCTGATTCAGCAGTAATATTTGGAGGCTCGAACCCTCAACATTTTCTTTCAGTGCACTTGAACGCTAGCTCATCAAATGGATTTGCAAATGAGTCTATTTCTCGAAAAGTAAATAGCTTGTTTGGTCTTGGTGGGAAGAAGGTATGAGGTTGTAAAACGTGCTGATAAAATATACTGGTGCGTCGAATAGGACCCGCAAAGTAGAACAAAATGACTACAAAATTGAGATAAAATCCCGTAGAACGTTTTGTCTAATAGATAGGGATTTTAATTCCAACCCAAATATTAATTACATAGTCAAACAGGGATATTTACAATGCGCGGATTGTATGTCCTATATGTGTCTCATGAACCTGAAATGGAATATTGGATGGTAATCATCAAAATAGGGTGTGTATGTGAGAGCGAAAAATCAGAATTGGAGTATAGCCTGGCTAACCCCATCTAGTAGAGCTAGTTGTTGTGGTACGAGTCATCCCTGACATTTGTGTTTCCAACTCGACATTGTTGAAACTGGACTTAATATACTACTAGAACAGCGGTAAAAAAAGACCACTATGGTACGCTTAACTGCGGCCAATTCTGACTGCAAAAATGGCAATAAACTGACCATATCACGTGGTTCAGATTCTATAGTATCTCAAAATCCGATTTACGTAAAAGAACCTATTAATGTTTCGCTTTTGGTTGGAGGTATACGTGCAAAATTTTTACCCGTTTTCGATTTCTTTCCACGAAATTGTCGGGAAAATTGTGGAGTTGCATTCGCTTGATAGCGAAATGTGCAGTGAGCCCAAGTTTCTTACGACAGTTTTATCTTCTTTAGTTTTCCAGGTCTCTAAAATCCAATCCGTGACTTCGAGCCTGAAATGTACGAATGTTCCGCGATGTGGGCTGCATTATTGTGCCGGTCTTTCGTGACCCTTATCAGCCTTTATACACACTTTTTGCAACTAGTCTACTGTTGAGATGTCTAATCCACCCGTTGCGGGTGGATCTTCTGCTTTTGTAGAGAACATCGGTATCTATTTGTTTGTTTGTTCGCCAAATTGGGCGACCAAGCTGCGAGTGTTTCATCACTAATCGAGGTGAAATCGTCAGCGCTTCATCGTGAAGCGAAGTGGCCTGCTGGCGCCATCTCGATTGGTGTTGAAACGTTTGCCGCTTACTATCCGAGGTCGGCAAACAAACCAACTTCTTTGTACCAGATACTAAGAAACAAAGAGTGTCTAGTTCCTTTACACACGGTCTACTATCTGTAAATATAAAGTTACTTTGCAAATATCTAAATCTATAAGTTGCACTTTTGCGGCGGATTTTCTGGCAGTCTGACCGTGAAACCGATGGTGACGGTCGGTTCAGGTTTCTGATGCATTGGTTCACCATCCTTTGTTTTAGTTGTCCAGAATTCTCGAAGCATACCATTGCGTCAGTCGGAATCAAACAAGTCCCTCCAAGCTGCACGCGACAACGATGGCCGTGTGACGATAGCTGTGACACCCAACTCTGTGAAATTTCATGACTACGAGGGCTTGGTTATACCATAGTGATGCCAAAAAGCTTTGACAGACTGTTAGGTGAACGGCTTTAGGGGCAGTTGATCGATCCTAGAGTATCCGGCACCGGACCCGACGGGCAATAAGACCGACATACTAATCCAGCTGGCGTGACGCACGTTCACAACTACTAATTGCATCGAGCGAGCTTATTGCTAGGTTTAACGATGTTTGCGAAAAACAGATGAAATACAACTTCTTCAAAGATGCATGATTATTGTGTGAACTTGTCATCTTGACATCCAACCCCTTTCACAGCTGAGCTCGGGGTGTTACGTGATTGATAGTCCCACAATCGACGGTCGAAATTCTGGTACCACTGCCGAGAGTGTTGATTCCAGTTTAACCCATTGCGTTTTAACGCACGGTGCTACCAAAATCCGTACGGGTTCGCCGAAGTGTTCGAATAGGTCGATCCCAATCGGATTGCATATCAAATTCTCTTGCGCCTTTCTGTGTGAACTAGAACATGTGATCGTTTATTGCGTTTGTCTGTTTCAATAAGAACTTGTGCTTTTCTATAGAGGAGAATGTCGGTAGCTCAGGTAGCGTAGATGGTCGTTGGTTTGTTCGCTGAGTTGGGCACAACCACTAACCCACCGCTATGCACAACTACGCACTGATGTGTCAACCTCAATTGGTGGTGAAACGTTTGCGACCAAATTGCCCAGCGCAGCGAACAAGCCAACGACCAACTTGTGCTTTTAAATTAGGCCTTTCAAACGTATGTTTCGATCAATCACCCCAACCCACGTTACTGTACCCTTCCTCGCCGTGCCGCCACCATTTAAAACTGGGGTGTTGAATTGAATTTGCTCCTTACTTTTGAATTTCGGGCATTATTTTTTCGCATGAACGTGTTAACCGCTGATCTCTTGAAAACCGAGATCTGTAGGCCATCGAAATCTCAGTGATTATCTGAGGTACAATGACAACTATATCGAGAAATTTCGTGCAGCAACTGGTGAACGAAAATTATGCGGTGTAAACTCCACATGTCGATTTTCAAGAAATTCATACCAAAGTCACTTTTCCGCGTTGCAAATTGAACCAGCTAAGCATATGCTGATTCCTCGTACTAAGACCCATTGACCTTTGACAGTTGGTTCGGTACCGGGCTGGACGGTTGCTACTATCTTGATGCTGGAGCTTCACCAGATCGTCTCAGGCAGCCTTCACTGCTGCGCACGCTACAACGCTGCTCACCCCAGCCAAGCCCATAGTAGGCCTTGGTGCCATGACTTTCACCACCGTTGTTACTCGGCCCTTCAGGACTCGCGAGTTCAGCCTGGCAGGTCGTGTTCGGACGGATGTGGGCCAAACTGAGCGAAGTGCTGGCCAGCTGTGTGAAACGGGTAGGTAACCATAACACCAGCGTGATAGAGACTCTCCACCCAATTGACCTTCAGCGGTGGACTGAATGCTAGAACGTTGCGCTGGCCTCGTAGCTATGGTAACATCCGTGCAATGACTTGCTCACTCAACCAAGCCTGATCACAATGACTCACCGTTGGACTTCCACAAATCTGCGCAAGCAGCCAATCGACCCTTCCGAGACAGGCGGTTCTTTATCGTTACAGAGTGCAGTTGGAAGTTCCGATACACTTGAACAAGAAATTGAATCTGGTATCTGAAGCATGTTTTTCGGTTTTCTAGCTTTAAGGCCGTAAAACGAAACCAACACGATGTAAGCCAAAATTCAGTTACTTGCATCACAACACTTTATCGCCCCTTCTTCTGAGCGCGTCTTTGAGCTGCTTATGAAGTGGACCACTGAGTGTAACTTACACTAGTTACATGTCTTTCATAGAAAACCGCCTAGTCCCCATGGCTCAGTGCACTGCATAAGACGGTGGAAATGCAGCGTCCAAAATATAGGTGTTTGAGTCAAGACCCATTGACTTCATTCAAAGGTGAAAGTGATCAAGGTGTCCAAATATACGAGTTGATCCCGTAATGCTGCTCGAAAGACCGGTGAATATGATGTTCACGTTGAGCAACGCGGGCAAACACATTTTGTCTTACAACACATTCACCACGACAAGTTTCATCCAGGTGGCATGAGGAGAAGTCACACAACAGCCTGGTCTGAAACGCTGAATGAAAGCCTGTGATGAACACTGTTTGTTATGCTATCAGAAATCTGCCTAGCGTGATGAAGTCTCGGAAGTTCAAGCGGTAGAATATTTGTCGTGGACCCCGTGGAAACATGTAGCCTATTTTAATATACATACCAATTGTAGACGGTCTATATGCATTTTTCGGTTAATAGTGCAGGAGAATATGACTAAAAACTCGGTATCGTTGGATTCTTTTCATTCGTTTCCGTTTAACAAAAATGAGTCGGTATTTCGTAGGGAACTTCAGGTATCCACTACCTGTAACAGATCGCTAGTTAG